ACTGGAGTTCACCTCTGAATGTAGTGTGACGTACCTACTTTCCAATCCCGAGATATGCAAGATACCAAAAATCCCCGGTGTCTGTGGATTCTGTTTCCAGCTGTTACTTTTAGGACTTCAGCTGGTTGAATATTGATTTCCGTATTCCTGTATCGTGGGGATTTCCACAAGGCAGTCACACACACACACACAGTATAACTGAGCGCAGACTTATCACAAAGTGCTGATTAATCAGTAGACAGGCATGCAAGCGGCTCCACCCTGACAGGGGATTGTCCGTGGGATGAATAGATGGAATTAGGTTCCCCGGATTTACTTTGACAAACTTTCTGTTGTCGGGCCTATAATGAGTTCCACATGTCTATTCTTTGCACTCTTCAATTTGGGTCTGCAGGCTCTTGCCGCCGGAGGGTGTGTGACTATAATTATAGTTATTCCAGTGAATGTTAGGTGGAAATGGGTAACTGGATTTAGCACTTGCAAGGCTGCATATTTTTATCTCCGGATAGATCCTGGATCATCTTCCCATAATATTTGTTGTCCATTCTTTCTTTTCTCAGATTAACTAGTTCCTTTCTTTATGCCTTATTGACATGAGAAAAGGCCGGCAGGTACAGCTCCGTGCACCGCCGTATCGGGCAGCTCCTGGGAAGGACAGGTGCTGCGTGTGATTAGTACACAGCCCCTGTCCTTCTCTATGGGAGTATGCAGCCATACGCCGCCCTACGCTCACCCACCCTGCATGTGAGTGCGGGTGTCCGTACGCTGACAGGATGGATCCTGTCTGCGTCCAAGCCGGGACACCCGCACCTGTACGGACCTGCACTTGGGGTGGCATATGGCCCGATACGGCCGTGCACGGAGCTGTACGTGCTGGCCTTTTCTCGTGTGAATGAGGCCTTGCTCTGCTGCATTCGTTGGGCTCCTCAGGGAAACTTGTACCTGCCAAAGGATTTGTAATTCTGTTTGCCAATTTTGTAATCCAGGAACGCCTATTAGACTGCATGGAAGAGGGGTAGCCAAACTATGGCTTTCCAGCTGTGATGAAACTACAAGTCCCATTAGGCATTGCAAGTCTCTGAAAGGCATGGCCTACTGAGGCAGATGCATGATAGTATTGGTAGTTTCCCCACAGCTGGGGGGCCGCATTTTGGCTACCCCTGGCATAGACATTACTTTTCTCCACTGTAAGTAATTAACTTCTTAAGCTTGGCTGTACACTGTTCAAGTTTCGGCCGAGTCAGCAAGACTGACCAGTGCGTGGCCCAATCAGCACCACTCCATTCAACAAAAGACAATTTTCAATTGGCATTTATTAAAGGAGCCGGTCTGAAAATTTCAGAACAGAACAGTGATTGCAGTCAACCAGCTTCAGTGATTGTTCAGGTATTCTGTCCGCAGTACACTTGCCACTTAAAAAAAACCTCTTGTTGGGTGGCAAAGGTGGTAGGTGCCGTGCTGCCAGAATTGCAGTATTACAGCTTTGTCATTGTGCCTGACCAGGTTTATCTAGTTTCCACTTGTTTTCTTTATTGATCTCTTAAACAGTCTTTAAGTGTAAGTTCCCTTCATGCCGCCATTCTTTCATTTATGGCTGCTAATCTCTAGAAAGGAGGACACACCTGAACATAAAAGCACAGCTCCGGAGCTTTTTGAGTTTGACACTTGAAACCTTCATTTTTTTTTGTATCTACTGCTATCGAGCAGTTAAATACAAAAACATAAAAAAAGTTACCAAATGGGTACAAACTTACCTGTGTCCCCGCCACTCGCTCCCGTCAGAAGGTCTGAAGGTTCTCGAGCGGCCGTGAAGGATCATGGGGCGGCCGCATGCGCAGTACAGATTTTCGGAGAGACGCAGGGTAAGTCCATGCACGCAGCGTGCACAGACACAGGAGACGCGGCAGTCAGCGCTGGATCAGAGACCGGCACCAGAGCTCGAAGGACTCCTGAAAACTACTGGAAAGAAAATGATTATCAGGTGGGGTGGTGGTGGAAGAATGTGTCTTTAATGTCACTTTAAAGCTGAACTCCAGGGATACATTTTTTTATGCATACTTGCATTACTTGGCTCATTAATGTAAGTATACATATGTCATAGCTGGTCGTCCATTGGGCATACTGTAAAGCTCTGTAGTGGCTGAAGCTACTACAGTGCGTTACAGCGATCTTCTGGGTTCTGTATGGCGCTGTGCCGAGCGGCTTCCACTTTTGCACTGAAAATATATGGGGCCTTTTCTCGGCACTGGGCTGTTTGGACAATACCTAATATTTTTTATAAATTAATACAAGACTTTCTGTGAATGGGTAAGAGGCAGATTGTGATGTCACCACACCTCGTCCAATCAGAGCAAGCCTTAATTGATAAAAAAAAATACTAGGTGTGCTATGAATGGCTGCTGTGAGCGACCGTCTGCGTTTTCAGTGCACATGGGAAGCCGCACGGGACCTGAAGCTCCAGCTACTACAATGCTTCCCAGGATCCCTGTGGGCTAACCAGGTATAAAATATGCGTACTTACATTGAGCCAAGCTCATCCAATGGAAGTATACATAAAACTCTATACTAGCAGTGCAGTTTTAAGAAAAGCTGTAAGTGGTATTAGCTTAAGGTGGTCTCGCCATACATTTTCTGAGTAGCTCCTCTTCTCCAGGCAACAAATTGCATTAGCATATTATCCCCACATTGTAGGTGATGTTTCAAAGACAGCATAGTCAACAACATGCCCCCTTCCCTACTGTTGTCCGAACACTCTCCTGGAAAGGAGATTAATATTTAATGAGGTGGTAATTATCAAACCGTTCCATAGATAAGATAATAATATGGTAATGTTATGCCCCTGCGGCAGGGACTCGCGAGAATGGTGAGGCTTCACTGCTTTGTGGTTTTGGCACCTTTCTGACACCCCATTGCTGCCATAGCGGGGCAGTTTATGAATGCCTTCGTCATGGTGTGAGCTCCTGTCATACATTGACTTTGGTAATTTAAATCTTCATGTTCTCAGTTACTGGAAGCGATGGCACACTTTATTTCAAAGTGCATTAAGTACTGATGGTGTCTGGTATTATATGGCTTTCAGGTGGTGGGGGTCCTCTCCGCACACCTTACAGCAGTCCTGGCCAAATAAGAACGGTGGTGCTCGCAATGACTATCACGGATGGCACCGTGCAAAATACGAAGTGTTATTATGGTATTATATGGCGACGCTACAAACCAAACCTGTGGCAAACCACCACAATCACTTTGAACCAGGACACCTGTGTGGTCGTGGTATAGTGAGAACTACGAGCACGATCGTCCTGACCAGAAGAACAAATTCTTTTTTATTTTTCCTTAAGTGCAAATGTTTGGTTCTTCTTTTTTTTTTTCAAGAAGTTTCTGTGTCACTCCCGGAGTTTCGCATAAAATCATGCTGTTTTGTTGTGCCCTGCTCAGATTTATTGGCGGTTAAGGCGTGCAAATATTTGTGTTAGCCGGTGACACAGAAGTCATTCTAAATGTGACATTCTTATTGTGTTCTGTCTTTACACCTGATAAACCCTGGACAAGGAACATTCCTGCAATATGGCGGACTGACCATAGGCCCACAAGTATTTGATTGGTCAGTTGTCATTGTAACATGAGGGTCCTGCTCATTAATAAACCATTAGTTCACTTTGAATGATTAGGGGGAAGACAGTAGATGGTTTTTTGACTAAAGGTGCCCATACACCTTGCGATTTATCCTTTGGAAATCAAACACAAATGCGTTTTTGAACGATAGTCGGCCAGTTGATGGAAAGTGAACGATCACAATTACTGTACAACTGGGTGAATTTTCTCGATAGGTCAGACTGGAAAACTTTTTCGGAAAGGAAATGGATTAGTGGCGTTTTGGTACGGAAAAAAATCGCAACATGAACACTGCACATGCGCAAGCGAAAATCCATTCCATTAGTCGATGAAATTCGGCCAGTTAGTATTGCAAACGAGCGATAATAAAAATCAACATTGGTCAGTGCATGATGGGGTATTCAAGTGGAAATTGAACGACGGTTCCATGAAGGCACGAGAGAAATCGAACGATAATCGCAAAGTGTATGGCCAGCTTAAAGCTGGCCAAATACTTCAATTTCTCTTGTTCGGCCCTACAGGGGTCTCTTGAAAGAAGTCTTGATTCCCCCATCCACACTAAATGGTGTATTGGGGAATCCCCTTGCCGGCTTTTGTATTCTGGTTGCAGTCACTGTTTGAAAACCGTGACCTGGCCCCTTTTGACAACAGTCGATTTGATAAAATAGACTTTTATTGAACCGGGTGGTGCTGACTAGGCCGTCCATGGATCGAGTTTTGGCCAACTCAGCAGGAATCACCCAAAATTTGACAGGTGTACGGCCTGCTCAAGGGCTTGTGTCATCAGGCTTTAGGCCCGGTGCAGACCTCCGCGTTCCGGGATCGCGTGGTCCTGCACAATGCAAGCAGCGATCGCCGCTCGGCCCCATTGATTTCAATGGGGTAACATCTGCGCGGCTATCACAGAAAAAGGTTACCTGTTTTAGCCGTGATCGTGTTTGGAAGCAGGGGCGGAATCGCGGCGGGAAACTGCGCGATCCGCCTGGCGCGACTGGGGTGCCTTTAGAAAATAATGGCACGATTGGTTCACTCCTTGGCGACTTCTGACTGCGCGACAATCTACTGGTGTCGCCTAGGTGTGCATCAGCCCTCAGTCTTTTGATAACATCAGTTTTGAGAGCTTTCATGGTTTACTGACAGGTGTATTTGTCCTCCTGTTGACCTGCTTAGTGCTTTTTCCCCTGGACTTGTACGAGATTGCAAAACCTGTTTAAAGTCAATAAAAGGCATTAGATGGATAACAGCCGGCTTGTGTTTCCTCCTCTTATGTGGGGTGTTTGACAGGTCATTTTATAGGACTGTGTTCTAAGACATTTTGTTACTAAGGACCGTTTGTTATGCTGTTAATGTATTCTTTATCTTTGTAATCATGAGCTCTTTGTCTGCTGTTTCCAGGTCTGCATTGATCAAGCGTTGCTGACACTGACAACACAAGGTAGCAGCCATGCAGACTATTAAGTGTGTGGTCGTCGGTGATGGTGCTGTGGGTAAAACTTGTCTCTTAATTTCATATACCACAAACAAGTTCCCATCAGAGTATGTTCCAACGGTAAGTACAGTTCACCCTATCAGGAGCTTACTGCCGCTCTGTAGTCTACGTTTGCCTAACCCAGGCATGGGCACCATCTGGCCCTCTAGCTGCGAAACTACAAATCCCACCGTGCAACTATCTCTGAGTCATGCCTGTGGCTGTGAGAATTTAGCAGTGCCTTATGAGATTAGTAGTTCCACAACAGCTGGAGGGCCGTTGCTTGCGCACCTCTAGCCTAACCTTTGTCACGGTCTGTCATTTGTTTTGCTCCTGCTGTACACTCTCGTCTCCACCAGCGTGGCAATCCGCCTTAGCTTAGCCCTAGTTAAATAGAGTAGGGAATCGTTTAAACCAGACAGTTTTTCCCCTTCACTAACTGTCCTGTACACACCATAAAAGGAAGGTGAGGGAGACATTTGTCACCGAAACAAGTCTCCCTATTGGTAGATTTCTCCTCTCTTCCTTTTCTAGTGACAACTTAATTTTGTGGTAGTGGTCACTTGGACAATTTAAGAGTAAACTTCCCTAACAGGGAAAGAGATGGCATTAAAAACCTGTTAGAGCTTCTAACTAGGGATTCACCGATACCGTTTTTTCGGTATCGAGTACCGATATTTTTTTTCCCGGGAATCGCAGATACAGGTGCCGTCTGCCCCGATTATCAGGAAGTCAGGCAGCGGATCATGACCCATTGCCCGGTTGCCTGGTAAGCCAGTGTTCACTTGCTGAGGCTGCCTGCCTTCCTGACCACTCAGGAAGCTGGGCGGCGGGTCATGAGGTGCTGTTCGGCTTCCTGATTGGACCCACCCGGTTTTCTGATTGGCTAGGAAGCCGGCTTCACTGATTGCTAGGAAGCCGGATGGCACATCATGACCCTCCTCCCGGTTTCCTGATTGGGTAGGAAGCCGGCTTCAATTGTTCCTAGGCAGCTTGGCTTCCTGACCAATCAGGAAGTTAGAAAGGTGGGTCATTACGTGCCGCCCGGCTTCCTAGCAATCAGTGAAGCCGGCTTCCTACCCAATCGGAAAACCGGGAGGTGGGTCATAATCCACCGCCCGTCTTCCTGATTGGAAAGGAAGTCTGCTCCATGCTCCCTCGGCACTGCCAGTCAGAGGGAGATCTCTCTCTGACCAGACGTTCTGGTATCGGAGCATTTGGCCGAGTTCGAGTACTCGCCCAAATACTCTGTATCTGCACCGATACTAATATCGGTATCTGTGCATTCCTAGTTCTAACCATCCGCAATTACTCCGTGCACATCTGTTTTAGGGCTCCCTGTCTTGCTAAGTGGTTTTATCTCATCAGTTATAAAACAGTGGCATTCATTCTCCTATACAATAGAGGTTTGATGTACAGTGCTGCATACCTGATAATGACATTTTCACTGTATTTATGTGAAATTGGCATGCACAGTTATTCTTTAATGTGTACTTAACCTTCCTGACGGTAATCCCGAGTGTGGTTCGGGGTTGATTTTTAGTACCGAAAGCGGTAACCCCGAGCCACACTCGGGATTACACTGTAGCGTCACTTACCTTGTCCATACAACCCCCGGCATCCGTCTTCCGACCCTTGCGAATGCACGCGTCGCAGGGGGGCGGAACCAGCGGGAAATTCAAAAGTAAAAAATAGAAAAAAAATACTGAAATAATCAGACCGCCAGGGAGGTTAATGCAAATACAATGCATTTAAGTCTCAGGACATGAAGAATGTTTCCATGCAGTGTTTTGTTTCAGTATGATGACTTCTACTGCTCGCCTTGTGGGAAAATGCCAAACCAAACTTTTCTCTGAAAGGGGCTGACTGTTGTGTGTTCTTATTGTACTAAGAAACAATATCCTCCAGTTGCTGCGTTTGGTTGAACACAAGTCACTCTAGTAGTACAGAGACCATACAATGACATCATTCACAAGGCACCCTTCATATACCCGTCGTTCCTCCTTTGTTGTGTCTGCTGCTTTTACTGTACGCAGAATGAATGTGAACTCTTGTTTTTCCTGTATTGTCTAATCCAACTCACCTTTCTAATCCTTCTTCACAGGTATTTGACAACTATGCTGTCACAGTTATGATTGGTGGGGAGCCGTACACCCTAGGGCTATTTGATACAGCAGGTATGTAACATTGTTTTGAAACCAGACCTTTACAGTTGTTTTTCAGCAGATAAACCGATAAATGCATGAAATGTAATCAGCGTGTTGGCTGAAGCTGGCCACACACATTACAACGTAATCCTTTAGATTTAAAGTAGAAGGAAAAGCAAAATGTGAGCAATATATAAAATATTTCATATTTTAAAGGTGACTGTATTTATGTACACTGTGTGTATATATTACCCATTTCTGTGTGGTCACATGAGCACAAAACCTCTCAGCTAGTCCTTTTTGTGGGTGGCGAGTCCCCGTCACACAGCAGAGAGAAGCCGTGACTTCTGATTGGTAGCCTGATCTCTTACAAACAAGACCCCTCTCTGCCCAGTCATTAACACAGTAGCCATAATGACAGAGGCCTGGCAATACTTGGACAGGAAATTGTCAACCAAGTCTTCCCTAGTTTCTTGCCTTTTGGGCTTCAGAGAATCTCCGCCGAGAGCTTGCTGAGCCACATGAGGAGGTGCCCTATAACACCGGGGAGAGCTCCTTGTCAGGCCTGGCCACCGCCAAGTACCTTCTGAAGGAGTGACAGCATATCCATTCACTGATCAGGACTTCTTATAGAAGAAACACCATGAGGCCAAACAGTGGATGGCAGAGTGCCCAGCCTGGGTATAGCGCAGCCATGCAGACTCCATCAACAAGCTGGATGAGAGGCTTGTGGACATCCACTAATGTGGACGTAAGGTGTCGCTGCAGATACCAACCTTCTTTTAGTGCATTTACTTTGGGGGAGCCTGTGGACAGTCCATGCTGATCTAGTAAGGTGGTAAAGCTTCCGTGTACCAACAGCGCTATACTTGCCTTCCTTTATTGGCGTCACTGTCTTCGTCTGGTCTTTTCCCGGGTTTTGGTGTCAATTAGTAGAGTATATAGAATTACACTAAATCATTTGCATTCTCTCTACAGGACAGGAAGACTACGATAGATTACGACCCCTTAGCTATCCTCAGACAGATGTGTTCCTTGTCTGCTTCTCAGTGGTCTCCCCATCTTCATTTGAAAATGTGAAAGAAAAGGTAGGTTATATTATCCATGAAGGTGTTCGATCTCTTATGCAGTGTGTGTTTGGTTGTATTAAGAAATAAAAGAAGCTTCTTGGATCTTTTGTGTTTACTGAATGTGCATTTCCATGCATTGCAATGCCTTAGTAAGCCTATATATTTAAATATGCTGAGAACACACCACAATGTAGCAGAAAATTGGAAATGCATCATTTTTTTCTGACATTGCACCACAACAGAGATTCAAATTTTTTTTTTATAGATTGGATAAAGGTGTTCTTGTAGTGTTTGTGTCATGCACTCATTCAGAGCCATTGTTTTTCCAGTGGGTACCTGAAATTACTCATCACTGTCCCAAGACTCCATTCCTACTTGTGGGGACACAGATCGACTTAAGAGATGACCCCTCCACAATCGAGAAGCTCGCAAAAAATAAACAGAAACCAATCACTCCAGAGACAGCTGAAAAGCTGGCCCGAGACTTGAAGGCAGTTAAATATGTGGAGTGTTCCGCACTGACACAGGTAAGAAACCGTAATAGACAATACTTCTCTTTTTGCCGCCTCAGTAAAGTTCAGGATTTTGTTAATATCGTTCAGGCACAGGTCTGCTTTTGGGTATAACACCAGTACCGGCATACGTAGTCAGTAGGATGGCGTGGACATCTTTCATTTAATGCATAACTTATCTGATGAAAGGTTTATTCAGCAACCGGTAGCTGCTTGTCAGGTAAACTTGTGCTAACTGGACTTCATTAAACTGAAGTTTGGTTACTATGAATTGCTGAACTTTGCACTGCTTGCCTGAATAAGACAGATTTATTTGATAAGATGGGAGCACATAATGGCGCACAGTAGCAATCAATACAAACCCAGCATCTTGGAGGGGGCTGGTAGATGACTGATATTTTTTTGTGTTAAGTGAATGCTACTATCCCAAAAAAATTATATATATTATTTTTTATTATAATTTTTTTTAATTTCTTACCCTAACATTAAGGGACATGGGAGTATTCGGGTACATTGGGTTATTCAGCTGCCTTCAGGAAGTTCCTTTTCATCTTAAACAGACCATTGTCCTGGTACACGTCATGCCAAGGAGATTTCGCTCCATGTCTGGATGTGGTACGCGCATCTTGTATTTACCTCTCGGCCAGAGCTTTTTTTTGTAGCCAGACTGAGGGCGGCCATACACTGCTCATTTTTCTCGTTCAACCTGCGGGCTGAACGAGAAAAATAGAGCAGATTCCTCAATCAACAGTGCGAGTTTGCTGATCGAGGAATCCTGCTGTTTGTATTGTATTCTTCGGTCGTAAGGTTCTTCAGGCGGCTTTGTAAACCCTTGTTGAGTCCTTTCTGTTAACCTGGTGTTCACATGGTTAGTATTTTGTTGCTGTCTTGCCCACCCCCCTCGGTTGGACTGCTTTTGGGATTGGCAACGATATCAGCATCCTGTGTGTACTATTTGGCTGTCAGACAGCCTATCAGATCTGCAGGGCCACTTTGAGAGTACATTAAAACCTATTTATATAGTAGTCCCTGATGAAAGTCTAAAGCAAACATTTTCAAAACTTTGCGATGTCCATTACTGAAAAATATTTTTGAATCATTGTCAGAAAATTTTATTAATATTTTATATTTACCACCCAACACTAAGAAGAGAGGGCATGTGGCTAGCTGATTTCTGAAGCAATTGAATAGCCGGAAAGATCAGATTACATGTGTGGCTGAATGATGCAAATAAGAGCCGCGCTCTTCCTACTAGAGACAGACCTGTCTGGATTAGTCTGTTATATACAGGTTACCAGCAAGCATGCAGACTGTACTAGACTGCCTTGTTAGAAGGCCCAGCATGATGTGCTATCTTTGGTGTGCTAAATGTTTGTAAAATATAGATTTTATGCAAATAATATATAAATGATGTAAAACATCAGTTTAGAAACATATAAAAAGTAAAATAGACCATGAAGCATTATAATTTTCCTGTAAGTAGGGATGCACTGATAACGATACCTCGACTTCCTGATTGGCTTCTTCTGTTGCTAATCAGCCTGGCTTTCTAACCAGTTGAGAAGCCGGGCGGCATGTAATGACCCACCTCCCAGCTTCCTGATTGGTTTGGAAGCCAGGCTGCCTCGGAACAAGTAAAGCTGGCTTCCCAGCCAATCATGAAGCCGGGAAGCAGTTATGATGTGCGGCCCGGCTTCCTGATTGGTCAGGAGGCCAGGCAGCCTACCAACTAGTGGAGCTGGCTTCCTAGCTAATCAGTAAGCCGGACGGCACCTCATGACTTGCCACTTGGCTTCCCGATTGGTCAGGAGGCCAGGCAGCCTCAGCAAGTGAAGCCGGTATTCTTTCACTGGAACACCGGGTTTACAGGCAATCAGGAAGCCGGGTCATGATCCCCCGCCCGACATCCTGATAATCGTAGCACAAGGCACCAGTACTTGGTATTTGTGAGTACCGGAAAAAAATATCGGTACTTGATACTGAAAAAACTGTATTGGTGCATCCCTACGTGTAAGTAACCAGATTTGTCTGCCAATGACTGCACAGTACTGTAGTGATTTAAATTACAATTCTACAATATATATTTAAAACAAAACATATAAACAGATCACTTGATCTTTCTTGTTGCATTTGCGTTCTAGAATCCATAATGTATAAACTATTTAATATTTTGGGACTGGTTAAATGCACACATTTGTAAGGTGGCACTACATTCATGATTACAACTTGCAGCAGATACCACATCTCTGTAGATCACTGTATTTTACATGTTATTGTTCTGTGCTCTGGTTTATTGAATAAGCTGTAAGGATGCCACACACATTCAATTCAATGAAATCTGTTTTATATGCACCTTTTTAGTTGCGTTTTTTTCTCATATGACAACAAGACTAAAATGCAGGAAAATCCTGTAACATGTGAATTCCTGCACTCCTAGCAGTGTTGAGAACTGTTCTGTTCCTTTTAAATACCTTTTCAGTTCAGTTATAATAAATCACCACTGATGTGGAACCAGCATATACGGCCACAAAGACAGAATAACTGGAGGAGGTGGAGAGGTTAGCAGTGATGGTGAACAGGTCTCCTTTAATATAGCAGTGTTTCCATGCAGGAGACCCATTATACCAGCTTCTCTGTGGCTGAACTAAGCGGGCACATGGAAAGAAAGGGACTGTCGGTGCCAATGATGTACCTTCCTCTTTGGCTGGTGACCTCATACCATTCTTAGTCACCAGAAATTAGCTGCATTTCTGACTGCTGTCCTGTTTCCTAACTTCCCATTGACATACTTTGTAGCCCAAGATGCTTTGCCAGCAACCGAAAAGCAGAAGTTATTTAAACAACGTTCATTTCTCAACTGTTTAACACTTTCAGACTTTGGAACAATCACCAAATGTAAGTGCCAGTATAGTAACAAGGGCTGTCTGAGATCTGTGTACACACTTTGTATGCTTCAAGATTCAGAGGGTTCCCTGTTCTAATTGTCACCAGTGTGTTTGGGAAGAGGAGGGGTGAAATATCAGATCATATTTTACTAAAGATGCTCTCAAGGAAAGAGTTCAACTCTTCACGTACGGAGAAGGCTGTTCAGTGGAACACTGGCCGAGGTCTGTGTCAGAGGCCCGAGCCCTTGTCTAGTAATCGGTTGCTAGAGAATGTGTTGCCATAGATGTGAATAGTAATGGTAAAACCTTCCTTAGGAACCGATCCTGAGATGTTTTCAGAACCGGGGTTCAGACATCATGCAGCCTCTATAGGCTGTTCCAGTTTTTTTTAGGGGAACCTCTTTTAAAAGCAACCCATGTATGACATTTCCTATCAAGCCGAAGGCAACCACTTGGAAAATGGATTTAGGAGAGTCCAGTTAGTACCTTATAAGTATATTTATGTTTTTTTATTAATTCTCTTCTTTTTTGCTTTCTTGTTCTTTTGTTCAGCATTCGGTTTGAACTGCATGCTCTAAACACCTGGCCATCTTCTCTTTCGCCTTCACACAGTGGCACCGAGTCTTCCAGCACAATCAGTTCACCTTTATTATTCTTTTGTTCACTTGCTGAAAACCACATTTATTTTCCTTTTGATGTTTTCTTTCTTATTTGTCTACATTGTTGTCCATGTTAGCCATCCTGTCATCTTTAGTGCTTTCCAATCCCTCCAGGCTGAAAACACTCCATTACCAGCAGTGTCTATGACAGCAATGACCGAACACTTGAATAACAATGTTTATTTTGCTCAGCTTTCAAGAAATAGCTTGACATAAGGCTTGACACTCCTAAGCCAAAAGTGCGAGTCACTTTTCGGTAACTTCAAAGTGTATCTAAACTAGGGTTGCACAGATACCAGGTACAGTACTCGGTACAAGTACATGTACCGATACTTTTGAGCTCCAAGACTACACTAGAGAAAAATTCAAAAATTAGGAGGCAGCTGTCATTTGTAAGGAGCACACGGAGCTCCTGGGATTTGTACATCTCTGTTTTAATGTACGATTTTGTTTTTATAAATATAAATAAAGGGATGCACAGATACCAGTTTTGCGAGTACGAGTACTGGTACTTGCCGAGTACTTACAAGTACGAGTACTGATACATTTTTGTTTATTGTCATGTGACAGTTTTTCTAAAACAATGCAGACTAATGATTTCAGGACAGTGGTGGAGCGCCAGAGCCAGGTCCCAGCTGCAACCCTGGGAGTTCTCATGGTACTCGAAAAGTATCTGTGCATCCCTAATCTAAACCTAACAATGAACATTTCTTTGTCTCCTTTTGGTCTGCTAAATATACAATCAAAAGGGTTTTGTTATATTTGTTTGCAAGAAACATTGGGGGGAATTGCGAGTGTTTGAACTTGCACGGAATCTATTTGCACCAGATTTATGAAGCTAGTTTAATGTTCATAAATGAGGTTTAATAGACTCTAGGAAAGAAGACTCGTAGCTCCAGGCAAAAAGCTTAACTGTCACTTGTCGAAGAAGTGGTCATGGGGCCTTCTTAAGTTGTGATTGTTTTCTTAGCTGATGCTCCAGTTTCATACAGCCCCAGAACAAGTGCAGATGAAAAAAGGGGCAAAAAACATGCAATTGAAAAAGTAGTGCAAGCTCAGGTGAAAACGGGGGCACATGTTCAAAGACAGATTTGCACATTAAAAAAATGATCTAAGAGGCTAAAACTGTTGCAATTGCTTTGATAAATTCCCCCCATTATGTTGATCCTGCCAGAGATCCAGTGAGCTCCTAACTTCCTGTAGTGACCCCAACAGAACAGTGCCTCTGCTTCACTGAAATCTCAGTCTCATCAGCCCTGCCCTTTTCACCTCTATAGACTACAGATCCCTTCAACTCTTGTGTCATGAAGTTGCAGGAGAAAGTTATTCTGTACTCCAAATCGGGTGTGAGCCACCTAGGGTGACAGTGCTGCTCTTTCATAAAGTAGATTGAGTGAGCCTTATCACTCCAGCACAGGAAGTGTGTTACTGGCAGGGTTACCAAAAGAAAACGTATGCAGCCACCACATCA